TAAAATCAAAGAAGAAAATCATATATGGTTGTCATGTATACATGGACTTAAATCGATTTAAATACTAAATGACACTAATGATAATAAAACAGAACATTTCGTTTTACAAAATTTTGAAAGAAGCTCGCTGTGGATTAACAAAATCATAATTATAATGAAAAAATAATTTTTAACTGAAATATTAAAGAAAAAACGATTACTGACTTCCTGCAAAATATAGACAGATATGAAAATAAGAACATTCAATTAATTATGTGGAATTTCGTTATTCAGCCATGAAGTATATAATGAAGTATATCATGAAGATATGTTTAGAATAACTGATAATAGAATAAGCTCCGATTTAAGTACGTTTAAAGCGATACTACGTCTTAGAATGAACATAAAATTGAATTCTCAAGAATGGTCAATATGAGTATATATTCATCAGTGAACTTACCTAGTGTCATAAAGTTACAACAGAATCCCTGTAAGATCTGGAAAATTGGAAAATTCATAAGACTAAGTCATTATTGAAAAACGCTTAATCTTGATATTATTGCATATTTATGGATAATTATTAAGTTTTTTGGATTTATCGGATTATATAAGGATCCTGTTATGTTATTTATGACACCAGGTATATCTACTGGCTCTTATTCGCCAAGTTTAAAATTTTTCAATTTTATGTTAATTTTAAGACGCAGTATCACTTTAAGAATGCCTGGTTATGCCAATTGATTCATGTTTATATTGAAAAACTAGATGTGGTCTTTTTGTAGTGAATTAAAGAAATCAATAGACCAAAACATAAGAAGTAATCAATAAGTGATTTTAAAAATAAAATTAATTTATCAAGGAGACTAATGAATGATATTGTTATGGTGTTATGCCTACTGTGTGTTCATGATTAACATATTGGCTCTCTGCCAGTCATTTTACCTATTAAAAAACCTATCTTATTTATTTGTATTGAATCTTAGAAGTCCCTTGGCTTTACCAAGAAATTTTTTTTAATGCAGTATGAATTAATTTCCTTACCATGAGTAAAATCAATTTTAGTATACACGCTTACATCTTGATCTCTATATGTTGATGTATTTTATTGTCCAATCATATCTCTTCGTTAATGCTCTAGAAACTGTAATCTAGAATCATGACAGGTATATATAAAAGGAAAATTGTAAATTGACATAAACCTGTGATTTAACACATTAAATTCTATATCTTCCGTAGTTTACAACCAAATTTTGTAAAAAGTATATGATCAACAAAGAAAAAAAGAAAGTTTAGGTTTATTGCCTATGGTACAAATACAAAATAAACTTTTTACCATCAAAATATGTAAGTTAAGATATGAATCCCACGTGGTAATCCTGTATACTTTAGATTGACTTTTGTCATTGGATTTAGAGGATTAAGGTGAATTATATGAAAAACGGTCAATATTTTTGTGAGCTGTGAGATTTATGATAATACAATGGTATAGTCAGATTAGAGATCAATTTTGTCCACACCTTTATGATATAGCCTATTATAAGAATAAAACTTATTTTTAGTATTGAGATATGACCCTGGGATTATGGTATAAGGAAAAGTAGAAGTCCAAAGAATAGACCCAAGTAGACTGGCCATTGACAGATTTACTCTTTGACTTCTCATATCGACAAATTAGCCTTCTACATACAATGCTGTTAACTGGATGAAGATTTTAACCCCTAAAATCGACTTATGTATTCATTTTAGTTCAATTAATTATTCTAAGTTTTATTTTTAAAAAGTAGAACATGAGTAACTGTTATTAACAGAGATTTTTTAGTTGTTGGTGGTCTTAGCTTGACTAAATCAGACAGAACAGCCACTTTGAGCTGGCCACTGACTTTTACCATTCAAATTTATATGTTAATTATAAAATGATTAAATAAGACTATAATTTTGTCCACACCTATATCCTATTCATATAATAGACAAGAGGATTTAGATTATTGTTAATCCCAAATTATTTACCATGATATCTGATAAGATTAATAATAAGAGTTTTAGATTGAAATCAGGATCATTAAGTGGATTAAGTATGCATCTCTTTTTATGATCGTGTCATATCGTGTCATAAACAGTCTACCTTGAAGCTATTACTATTGGGATATGGACATTTGCTCACCAAAGAAATGAGAAATATGAACAAAAAAATATGTTATAAAACTGTGGTGAGCAAATGTCCTAATTCTCATTTCTTTGGTGAATGATTGTCCGGTGAGCTTCATTCCGGTCAGCAACTGCACTACACTCATTACTATTACCAGAGTTGTAAGAATGAGCTCTAACATAATCGGAATGTTCTAAATCGATGTATTACATTAAGTTATTTAGAAAAGAGTCTTGAGGTCTATTATTTTTATTTTAATATCAATTATTATGATTTATAAGTGCTATACTCTTATCTTATATCAATATAAACACTGTTTACACAATCTGACAACCAACGTCTTGGCATTTTGGGATTGGTAGAAATCTAAGACGTAGATATTTAAACCCTTAATTTTGAATAAATCTTTTTGTTTGTTTAATTTTTTTTCAAATGAATTTTATCCAAAAAAAACCTCAACCTTATCTTCATGAATCAATTAACTTTTTTTATGTGTATTGTGGACACCGATAGCATCAATATTCACCATTCCAATTGTCAATAAGACGTACCGGTATGTGATTCCTGCAATTCCACTAAAACTAATTAATTGTTGACCTTAATAATCGAGAATGGCCTTATGTGATAAAACTTTTTGTGAGATTAGTGATGTCATCCAACACATCTTTTTTTTCACAAGCTGAAAATATTTTTGCAAGTTTCATGGAGTAAATATGAAAAATTTCTCAACATTTTTTACAAAACACAATATTAAGTAAATATGAAAAATCACAACAGGACATTTTTGGATCTTAATCAGATATGACTGGTGTAGCCACACTTCAGTTGTGTGTTATTACCAGCTTGTAGATAGTTCTTGAGGTATTAAGAATTGGGAAATGAAAGAATGAAAGGTTGAAATAGCTTTCTTGACACAAGAGACAAGTTGTATTGACATGTTGACAATACTATAAAATAATAATCAAGTACCATAACAGTGTAGTACTTGACATCTTTATTCACTCAGGTATGACTTGATAGGAAAATATCTCTTATTAAGTAGGCCTTCAATTAATAATACAAGCTCAATAATAATGCTTTTTGAATCACTTGAGTATGACCTTCTTGTAGAGACATTAATGGAAATACCAAAAAAACATTATTAGCTGAATGGAATCTTCAAATGGGAATTAACATAACCAAGGATACTACAATCAGGGCAATCGCTCCCAAAAGTTCCTACTTTTGATGCTTTAATGATTGAAATACTATTACTTTTTAAAGGGATTGAAAAAAATTTTCTATTCATTTTCTGCACAGCTTCTAATAATTATTGTGTTGCTTCATTCCAAATCTCGTCTCAGATCTGCAGCTGCTGGAATTCCCTAAAACGTGTCACTATCATACCAAAACCAATAAGTAACACTTGGTACCCACAAATATAACACTATGTCTCCATAGATAAATATGTTTTATTAATGATTTTCATTGCATCTTAACTATCATTTCAGTTGCACTGGTGGATCTGATCCAAGAATACCATGTAGTGCTGGAACAGCTAATTCAAATACTGGGAGGTCCCTCTCTACAGATTGTCAATCATGTAGTTCAACTGAAATCAGTTCAGGTGCAGCTTCATCATGTACACTATGTCCTGCTGGATACAGCTGTACAGCCAATACACCAACAATCTGTTCAGCAGGAGAGTATTCATTAGCAGGAGAAACAGTGTGTACATCATGTCCATCTGATAAGATATGTCCAACTGCATATTCTTCACCTCAGGTGAGTTGCAAGTACTTCTGTCAAAAATATTGGATAATGGTCTTGTTTGACTATCTGAAATTGTTGGCAAGTTGTTAAGAAGCATGGGTATACCCTGCCTTCCTTGCACACTAACAACATCTATCTTGTAGTGGTGTTCATATTCAATTTTGGACTGAGGTAAAAATTTAGTGGATGTAGTTGTATAAAAATTGTCTTTACCACCTTAAAACTGAATTTCAGAATGCTTATGATTGTTTATTTGGCTTATTTTGACAGATTTCTATTCTGAAATTTTTTATACAGAGCTCAAAATGGGACTCAAAATATAACCAATTTATATTAACAGGGATGTTCAGCTGGACAGGTACCTAATGGAGGACAAACAGCATGTATTGATTGTACAGCAGGAACATACAGAAAACTAACAGACATTACTTGTCAACAATGTCCAAAAGGTATGACCAGGTTTGTCAAATCACCCCTTGTTATATGAAACTAAATTGCATTAGGTGGAATGTTTGTACATTGTATTATAATTGAATTTAGTTGCTTCTGATTTTTAGGAAGTTCCTTAGAGTACCGGCTGTTAGACTGGACAGTTTGCACTCATCTGGTTTTTTTGTGTCAAAAACTTACAGTTAACTTTAATTTTTAAAACAATTAGGTTCCAAATGTCCAACAGATGGTTTAGGGGCACCAATTAACTGTCCAAGTGGAGAATATCAGCCTTCGACAGGTGAAACAGCATGTCTAGATTGTCCTGCAGGCTCAGAATGTTCTGACTCAACAGTTGCTACAACATGTCAGGCTGGACAGTTTGCAACTTCTAAGTCCATCTCTTGCTCACCATGTGCCTCAGGTAAGATTTGGCTAGTTCTGTCCATAGCTTCTATTCACATCATTAAACATTAGATCATCTGCTATCCATTGTCTTACAAAATAAGGTATTACTTAAACATACGACTTTAAATGCTTCCCTGGCATTGCCCTGTAAGAGCATAGATTTCATCGCTTAGCTTATCATATGTATTGAAATGACTGATGCATTTTCCCTATCTATTCTCATTTCATTCATTCTGTTTCATTATATTATCATAAAACAGGAACATATAGCCCAGCTAACTCACAAAGTTGCACAAGCTGTCCAAGTGGTAAAGACTGTACAAATGCATCAACGCCTGAAGCTGACCTACAAGATTGTCCTGCTGGGACATACAGCAACCTTGGTGACGCTGGTTGTACCAATTGTCAAACTGGTTATTTTAGTAATGCTGGTTCTGGATCCTGTACCCTCTGTCCTGCTGGACGGGACTGCACCAATCCTGCTTTAAATGAAACATCTCAACCAATATGTGCAGCAGGAACCTACAGTGCTGAAGGAAGTGCTGGTTGTACTAATTGTTTAACAGGGTATTACAGCTCAACAGGATCTACAAATTGTTCCATATGTCCTGCTGGGAGTGATTGTGCTAGTCCGTCAGAAACACCTTCTCAATGTGCAGCTGGAACCTACAGCCAGGAAGGTGATGCTTCATGTAAAAATTGTGCCCAGGGTTATTATAGCCCAGCTGGTTCTGATTCATGTACCATTTGTTCTGAAGGATTTAACTGTTCCAATGCTGGAGCAACACCACAGCAGTGCCCAGCTGGAACATTCAGCTTAGAAGGAACAAGTGATTGTTTGAAGTGTCCATCTGGATATTTCAGTACAGCTGGTTCTGGCTCCTGTACAAAATGTCCAGCAGGAAAAGATTGCACTGATCAAGGATTAGATTTGTCAAGTATGCCAGATTGTCCTGCAGGTACATACAGTAAACTTGGTGATTATGGATGTACAAACTGTGAAAGAGGAAGTTATAGCTCAACGGGATCTGGAAACTGCACGCTTTGTCCTGAAGGAAAGGATTGCAATAGCACAGCTATCACTGGAGTGCCTCAGGATTGCCCAGCTGGAACATATAGTGCAGAGGGAAATGCAGGATGCTCAAATTGTGAGACTGGATATTATAGCCCTTCTGGAGCAGGAGAATGTACAGTTTGTCCAGCTGGATCAGATTGCAGCAACCCATCAATAGCTCCCTCACAGTGTCCAGCGGGTAAATACAGTCCACAAGGAAATGCAGGATGTATAAACTGTGAAGTTGGTTACTATAGCACTGTTGGTTTAGGATCTTGTATTATTTGCCCTGGAGGAAAGGATTGTACTAATCCTGCTGATGATGGTTCAGGATTGACTGACTGCTCTGCTGGATCTTTTAGCAAAGAAGGAGATAGTGGGTGTATCAATTGTCCAACTGGATATTATAGTCAAACTGGAGCTGCTAATTGTACAATATGTCCAGGTGGTAAAAACTGTTCAGATGGATCTGCATCAGATTGTCCCAGTGGAACATTTAGTCGAGAAGGGGATGAAAGTTGTACTCTTTGCAGTGTTGGTAGCTACAGTTCAGCTGGCTCTGTTAGCTGTACCACATGCCCTGAAGGTCAATCCTGCACAGGAGACGCATTGACAAACTGTCTGTCAGGAACCTACAGTAAAGAAGGAGACAACAGCTGTCATAATTGTCAAAGTGGGTATTTCAGTGTAGAAGCCTCTGGAAACTGTACAGTTTGTCCAGCCGGAACAAATTGTACATCATCTGCTATTTCTGGATCGTTACCACCAGATTGTTTAGCAGGAACGTACAGTAAGGAAGGTAATACCGGATGCACACCTTGTGATGTTGGTTATTACAGCAGGGCAGGAGTTGGTAGCTGTACTATCTGTCCAAGTGGATATGACTGCTCGGATCCTGCTCTGACCGGACCAAATTTGAACAAATGTGAACCAGGAACATTCAGTGATGAGGGTGATGCTGGCTGTAAGTCGTGTAGACCTGGATATTACAGTATTGTTGGTTCTGGATCTTGCATTATCTGTGCTGCTGGTAAAGATTGTAGTAATGTCACCAATTTGACATCTGCCCCACCAGATTGTGAAGCTGGTACATACAGTAATGAGGGAGACCATGGTTGTACTAATTGTCTAGCAGGTATGTATTTTTAGGTTGATGGATGTTCACTTTCTGTAGATTTTGTTTTCATCATAATTTGTATTATGTCTTGCATGGTTGTTGTTAATAATTGGTTTTGGTTTATTGTGTTTAATGTGCTTTTTCAAACATTTTCATTTGTTTCTAACAATTCTGCTCTTATGTGATTATTTTTAATATTTTCAGTTCATTTAAAAGCATACAACTTTTGAGAATTATACCCTGTATTATATAATATGTAAATACAAATATATAATATGGTATGGTTATTAAATGATGTCACTTACTAACTTTCCAAAACACTTAATGCCATTTAACAACTTGGTATGTGAACTATGTATAACCTTCGAGGAGTCTACTAAATACAGCAATTCCCGTCTGATTTTATTTCAATTATTCTGCATGTTTGAGTATATTTACTATTGATCATTAATAATATGTTAATTGCCTGTTGTTTTGTGGTGATTTTAACTGTTATTGTTTGTCAGATAAGATAAGTATTAAATAATGTATAACAAGATATCCTCTTCTATTCAGTAATAATCTATTAATATATTGTTATGTTCTGTTTCATTGATTCCTTTCATACATTAATAGTCATCAACATGGACTTTCAGTACATTTTATTTTCAGTACATTTTGTTTTGCTCTACAGATTGATTCTTGTAATCCATTATTCAGTTTACTACCCGATAGGTTAAATATTTTCCTGCCTGTAGCTCTTATGAAAAAAATTTCCCATGATTGTGTACAATTTTGAGAGAATGAGATTAAAATCTGTACAATTGAGATCAATAATACTGTCAGCAGTAAGGCAGGTTACATGCTATGCTATGGGAAACTGAAAATTCAAATCTATTAGCTGGCATACCTTCAAAGGAGCAATAATTTGCTGTACTGTATGACACCAGACCACTTTAGATATTCTTCTTCAACAGAAAACTTATCAAGTAAATAATTTTCAACACAAATTATATTTAAAAGGAATTAAAATGTAATTTTTACTTGTAATAGAAATATAATAAAAGAAGTAAGAAGACACCATTAAAGAATGACTTAGTCTTATCTTTGTCGAAATAATTTTACCTGAAATCGTGGTGACTACTACGAAATACAACAACATAGAGTGATACAGCATTACATTCAGTTGTATTAGAAATACTTGAAAATATTCATGTTTGAAGAACCTTCTTTGAACCATTGAAATATTACTGTAAAAAATGATATAATTTGCAGGTTATTATAGTAAAAGTGCTGCTGCTAATTGTACTATTTGTCCAGCTGGTAAAGATTGTAGTGATCCAGCAGTACTTGGTGCTGAACCTAATGACTGTTTACCTGGTACTTACAGTCAACAAGCTAATAGTGGGTGCTCACCTTGTGCTTCAGGTAAGGATTTTATCTATCCCTTTATGATTAGTTTTTGAACTGTGTTGTTTGACCTTTAAGAATATTTTGATGAGGAAGACCAAAGCGACATAACTAATTAAGTGGCTAAATTTATTTTATAGGATACTTCATTAGCAGTTCTGGAGCTACCAGTTGTACTGAATGTGGAGCCGGTTACTTCTGTACCTCTACAACTCAAACACAGTGTGGTTCAACCAAATATAGTGATGCTGGTTCTACAGCTTGTAAAACATGTCCAGGTGGTCATTCATGTCCTGGTCCTACAACTGCAACACCAATACCATGTTTAGCTGGAACGTTCTCTAATGCTGGTGCCAGTACCTGTACAGCATGTCTTGCAGGTTACCAATGTCCACTCAATGGTACACAATTTCCAGAAAGTTGTCCTAATGGAACATATACTGATACTCCCAATACAGAATCCTGTAGTCCTTGTCCAGCAGGTAATATAACTATAATCAGATTTTGATTTACTGCTAATTTGTTTTGATGCTGGTTTAAATAATATATCCACTGCTTATCTCAGTTTTAATCTCTCTTTTAATCGGGTTGCCCAGAATGTATCTATCCTCTAATAATTAATGATGAGTAAGAGTTTCTGTTTTCTTTCCATTGTAGGTCAGAAATGCCCGAATCCTGCCAATACACCAATAGATTGTTTGGAAGGTGAATATAGTCCAGAAGGTGGCAGAACCTGTCTTGAATGTCCAGATGGTGAATATTCAAGCATTCAGAGAGCTGTTGCTTGTCTCCCTTGTCCAGAAGGTTTTTCCTGTTTTGATAGACTTCACCTCTTCAATGTAATAAAGGAGAAACAAGGTGAGCTTGTATCTGTGGGTAATTTCAGCTGAAGATACAATGTGTCGTGTACATCATTTGGTCAAAGTTTCAGGATTATTTGTGATTTTAGAATTCTGGATGTCTCTTGTGTTATCTGTGAACATCTTTGTGTAGTGTTTGTTAGTAAATGATAAGAGAATATGTGATAATAGAATGTAACAGTCGATGTGGAAAGGAAGCAGTTTGAGTTCTGCTAGTTATATCAGACCTTTTGTATATATAACATTGTTTAAATGTTTCAGTATTGTTGGGCAGAAGTTTTGTTTAGCATGTGAACCTGGTACTTATAAAGATGTGTTTGCAGCAGGATCTTGTCAGTCTTGTCCAGCTGGTTTTGAATGTCCTACAGTTGTAGCAAGTAAGATTTTACAAATTTTGACTCAAAGTTTATTAAATATCTCTGATATTTTTGAAGGCACTGTTCTTGAGTTATTTTGATATTAATTGAAGATTAACTTTAAATATCAGAAAAACCAGTGGATTTCTTATGAGTTATTACCATACTTTTGTTATTGTGTCATTTTACATGAAAGACATTCGTAGCAAAACATTTTTCATTTGTTTATAGGCCTACAACTTTTCTAACTTTTTTCTGTAACTCTCATTTCGGCTTATAATTATCTATTTTAAAATATATCTTTTAAATTTGTAGGCACAACTACTTTGATATTTAAGTTTTTTATATTATCTATTTTTGACACACTTCAAAACATCTTTTCTGCCTTTCAGAATCTGCTTGTGCTGATGGTTATTACTCTCAGAATGGTTCTACTGCTTGTTTACCATGTCCTGGTGGATATAGCTGTCCAAACAAAGACCAGCTACCACAGATTTGTACTGCTGGAACCTATTCTAGTAATGCTAGTCTGACATGTAGTTCTTGTGATGTTGGCTATAAATGTCCTGTAGATGGTTTAATTGAACAGATCTCATGTCCCACAGGGTGGTACCAAACATCAACTGGTCAAACATCTTGTACAGAATGTGGACAAGGTAAACCAATTTCAATGATCTTCTTTAAAGCAGAAACGTGAGAAAACACCTTTCCATCAGTTTCAATCAGATACAAGATGGTACACATGGTTTTCTAATGTTTTGGATAACTCTCTCCAGTGTATTTTCGATTGAATGGCATTGGAAAGCATCATTATTCGGTCCAGGTTTTCTGAAAGTACCCTTTTGAAATCTAAATGGAAACTGGTTTGAAAAGAATCTACAAATGACTACATAAATATGGTTAGAAAACCATCTTTTGAATGACTTTTTTGTGCCATATTTATTTTTAAAAACGACTTTGATATATGACAGAATGTCATGATTTTTTTTTGCATCATTTACAATAAGTCTGCTGTCTTGATTTGATTATTTAGGTGAGAAATGTCCTGATAAAACAAGTTCACCAGTACCATGTCCAGCTGGTCAATATCAAGATGGAAGAGGTTTAGAATCCTGTAAATCAGTAAGTAATTTGCTAATGCTAAGCCACGGAATACTGTCATTATTTTCTAGGTAATCTGGTAGAAATGGATTATGGTGCCGATGCTATTAGTGGTCCCATTTTACATTGCTCACTGCTTCAGCTGTTTATATTTGGCTGTACATTCCTTTAAATGATATTAAAACATTGCCAAGGATAACAAATTGTCTATATCTGGCATAAGTCATACATGATCAGTTGCTTTAGTGTTGGCAGACAGATCTTAGGAAATGGACAAATTTAATGTGATTGTTTTTGTTTTCAGTGTGCAAATGGATACTATGCTACAGGAACAGGAACTATTCAATGTACAGAATGTCCTGCTGGTTCTAAATGTCCTGATCCAACACAGAATCCTGTATTATGTCCATCAGGAGAGGTAACCGTTATTTGTAACCTTTGTTATTTGTAACATGTGTCATTTGTAACCTGTGTCATTTGTAACCTTTGATCTGGCCATTAGGTAGCTTACTGCTACGGCTACTGCTAATGATACATTGTTGGTAATAGTTGCTCTTTTCTGGTTATCCTGATTGACATTTTAAAGATAAAAATTTAAGGACTTAGATAGTAAGTGTTCAAATAAAAACAATAAATCTGTGTATATCTATTTCAGTATTCAACAGCAGGTTCTACTGGATGTCAAGCATGTCCTGTTGGTACAACTTGTGGTAATGGTGGATCAGTTACTACATGTTCAGTATGTTGAAAATTTCCATGATATGTGAAACTTACAATGTCCCAAAGTTTCAAACTTCATTTTCAGAAATTATTTTAGTTCATTTCAAAATGTCCAGTAGTAATTTGTAATTTTTAGCTCATGTATTAAAAGATGAGAAATGTGATTTCAGAATGGTGAATATTCTAACGGAACAAGCTGCGTACCCTGTCCAGAAGGCTATAAATGTCCCTCACCTATATCTGGTCCTCAGCAATGTGTCACTGGTACATACCAAGATCAAATTGGTCAAAGTAATTGTTTAGACTGTCCACAAGGAAAGTCTTGTTTAGATGTGTCAGCAACACCAGTAGATTGTCTAGCAGGGTATTTTAGTGCCTCTGGTGAAGCTGTCTGCTCTGTAAGTATCACTGTTTTCGTATAGTATAAATGGGTTATCAATTTTCTATGGAAATTCCAATACTAGTTGCCAAATTGCTTTTTGTGACTGATTATCACAATCTTAAATATATACTGAATACTCAAATTGGCTGATCTCAATGCTATTAATATCAGTCATATCACATGTTTGGAAATTATCTACAAGCAAGAATCAAATCTTTTGTGATTCCCCAAACTGCTAATGGAGCCTCTAAAATTTTTACATTTCTTGTAGCGCTGTCCTGATGGATTTTATAGTGCAGCTGCAGCAGGATCATGTTTAGTATGTCCAGCTGGTCAGAAATGTTTTGATGGTAGTAACTATATTACACCAACTGATTGCAGTAATGGTCAGTATAGTCCAAGTGGTCAATCAACTTGCTCTAATTGTCTGCCTGGTAAGTACAGTGATATTCCTTTTAGTACTAACTGATCATTACTATCAAAAAACAAGTACTAACAATCCAATATCTGTCTGAAATTGCAATCGTGGTAATAAAATTACTATCTTAATAAACAAACCATGTACTATCTGAACTGTAAAACAAAACCTGAAATCCAAAACAACATATTGGTGAAATATTGGTAGCAGCTAATGAACTTAACTGTTAACCATCACCAGTGTTATTTTATTTTGTGTTATAGGAACTCACAGTGGTACAGGTGCATCATCATGTTCTCTATGTCCTGCTGGTTCACAGTGTTCTGATCCTAGTACTACTCCACAAGCCTGTTCTAATGGCTATTATAGCACTCAAGGAAAGGTAGGCACCATTCTTTAGTGCAACTGGGTGGTGATGTTTGTTTCTTACTTCTTTGATTTGAAAGCTGATGTTGAGGTCAGAAGAACTCTTTTTTGAGCTTTTTAAAAAGAGGAGTCTGATACTATTGGTTTCGTGAAGCAAGTGTCTGCAAACAAACTCAGTACACATACCTCAGCTGGAAACTGTAATCATGGAATGACATCAGGTTATCTTTTCTTTCAGAATTTAGCTTGTACTATTTGTCCAGCTGGTTATAAGTGTCCAGTACCATCATCTCTACCTTCAGCCTGTAATCAGGGTACTTATGCTCCACAAGGTCAGATCTCTTGTTTACAATGTCCAGCTGATCAATCTTGTCTTGATCCTTCTAAACCACCAGTGGTTTGTGATGCTGGTTACTACAGTCCAGTGGTAAGTTATTGCTTATACTGAGATGATTTGATCCTAGGATATTTCAAACCAACAAAAATGAGTTCCTCTGATCTGAGTACCCCTGAGTTCATCTTGAAATAATCCTCTGATAGGTGTGAAGTGCTCCATGTCTATGTTGAGATAGTATTTCAGGTTTATCTCTATAAAAGAAATTCATGGAACAATTTTTTTTCAGGGTTCCCCATCATGTCTGATATGCCCAGCAGGATCTGAATGTAATACAACAGATTCTACATTGACATTATGTTCAACTGGTTTTTACAGTCTAGAAGGTGAAGACACATGTAAACCATGTCCTGCTGGTTCTATGTGTCCCTTCCCTAGCATTGCACCAATACCTTGTCAACCGGGTACCTTTGCTACTGGCTCTACCACAACTTGTACTGAGTGTCCTGCAGGCTCCAAATGTCCCTCTACCAGGTAAGTTATGCTTTCTGTTGCAATATAAAGCTTGGATTGTTGTTTCTGTAATTATCTACTTATAAAATATGTCTTCATAGAAGAAGATAGTACAAAAAATGTGATGAACTGCTTTGGTATGACAGATTTTCACAAAAGTTGTATCTTATATATTTTATAATTAAATTCAATGGTTGTTACCTTGATTTTAGCTCGACACCAGTTACCTGTGCTGCTGGCGAATATTCATTAGGTGGAACAACAGATTGTACATCATGTCCAGCTGGTTATAAATGTTCCTCAACTACTGTATCACCAGTAGTATGTACACCTGGAACATATAGTACTGGTGGTGTTACTACATGTACTGGTTGTCCTGCTGGCTATTATTGTCCATCAACAACTACTGGTGCTGATCAACAAGTCTGTTCTCCAGGTAACTTATTCGTTTGAGATTCTTCTAGATCTTCATTTTCAATCATCATTTTGGAATTTAGATTATAGATTGCTGTTTCAATAAGTTTCTCATGGGGGAGTAAGAAAGGCCATGTATTTGTCTCCTCCCTGCCTCCATTTTATTTAGGAAAGCATTGTTTGTGAGTCCCCCTGACAATTTTGTGTGGCCATATTGATATATAGAAACACCATTGGTTTTGATGCTTATGTTTTTGTCAATCATGACTGATCTTCAGTTTGAATTCTCAATCATAATGGTTTTGTGTATCTGCAAGAATCTTAGATTGATCTGTTAAATTTTTCTTTCTGAATCATTCTGGAATTATTTATATATGAACAATGATTTGTTTTTAGGAACATACTCCACTGGTAACCAGTCTTCCTGTACCATCTGTCCATCAGGCAAATACTGTCCCTCAATAACAACAGATACTGAAACAGATTGTGCTACAGGGGCCTATTCATATAGTGGGTTCGATGCATGTACACCATGTCCAGCTGGATGGCAATGTCCCAGTAAAGATGGCTCACAGAATTCCCAATGTGCTGAAGGTTTCTACTCTAGTGGTGATGCTACAGCTTGTACCCCTTGTCCAGCTGGTGAAGCTTGTCCCTCAACAAGCTCTGCTTTGACAGAAACTTGTTCACCAGGAACTTATTCATCAGGACAACAATCGGCATGTACAGAATGTCCAGCTGGTTATGAATGTCCAAGCACAACATCAGCTACAGAAACACCCTGTTCTGATGGGTTCTATAGTGAAGGAAAGAGAGCAGCATGTGTTGAATGTCCTGCTGGATATGCCTGTCCTTCCAAATTTGACAGTTATAAGCTTCTTTGTTCATCTGGTACTTTTGCTGAAGCAGGAGCTACATCTTGCACTGTTTGTCCAGCTGGCAAAGAATGTCCAAATAACAACGTTCCTGGCTCAGCTTGCAGTGATGGCTATTACAGTTTAGGTGGTCAAACATCATGTACACCATGTCCAGCTGGATACAAATGTCCAACTGATCAAAAGAATCAGAATCCTACTATCTGTGAAGTTGGTAAATACAGCAGTGGTGTAGCCACAGTTTGCTCTGATTGTGATGCAGGGTAAGTTTTCATAAGGACAAATTGAACTTACATAGAAATATTATTGAGAAAGATTGATACGTCTCAATCCAATGACTTTACTTACTTTAGAATCATGATTGAAAACTCTTTAACTTGTTGCCTTGATTACTGGAGAATCCTCAATTAAGCAACTCAAGAGGACCTTTCTCTTGTTTTTTATGTTATTTCTGTTACTCTTGAGTGATTGTGAGGCAATGTCAACTTTCGTTTAGTTATAGTTTGCACACTTCCACAAAATCTTTACGTAATGTAGTGCTATCACAGGATATAATGTACTTCTTTCTTCCAGGTATTTATGTCCAGAAGGAAGTACCAGAAAAGATCCACCTACTGCTGTATGTAGGTTAGGTTACTACTGTACTGATGGTGCCACAGAAACATTTTGTCCAAAAGGAACATATGGTTCAACTGTTGGTAAGTAATCCAAAAAATCAAAATTTGCTGTTGACAGTCATTGAAAAAATGGACACATATGTAACGAACATTATAACTTATATTCATTGTTTTTCACAGGCTTGAAAAGTGAGGCAGAATGTACTGCTTGTCCACAAGGTTATTATTGTCCTGAAGGCACAGCTGGACAACCAACATCAAGTTTACTCTGTGCACAAGGTCATTACTGTCCTGCAAGTGCTGGTGATTATAAAGAGAATCCATGTCCAGCTGGTAAATACTTCCACGAATTAGGTGCTGTGACTGCTTCTGAATGTTTGACATGTCCACAAGGGAGATTCTGTTCTGCAGGTAAGCTGTAACTTCATTGTTGTTGAAATGCCATTATCTTCTTGTGCTAATAAAAATGGACAATTCCATACAGTATCTATAAATTGTAGCACAAGTAGCCTCTGTTAACATTACAGAAGTGAGATATTATCAGGTAAAGTAGGATTCAGAGTTTTCTGGAAGGGTAAGCTTGGCATTCAATTTAGTAGTAGACTTTAAAATAAGGACAATTTTTTTGTCTGTACTCAATATATAAGAGCCAACAAATTGAAGTAAATCAGTTAATAATTGGTATTGTGTATTTTTTTTTCATTTCAGGTTCTGCTGATCCTTTCTTGGATGCTAATATCTGTCCAAGGGGTAAATACTGTCCAAGTGGTAGTGGTACACCAACACCTTGTCCAGCTGGTAAATACACTGAAGAACAAGGCACTACAGGATTGGAATTCTGTAAGATTTGTCAAGCTGGTCATTACTGTACTGAGGGAACTGATACACCAACTGGTTAGTTCTTCCATCATTCTTATCTTAATTACTTGATTTAGTCTTTGATTGATAAGATTGATGCTTTATTTGTAGGTCCTTAATCCTTTCATATTTGATGCTTAAAATCTTCCTGGTAATGGAAGAATCCCAAAAGATATATAATATATATTCTACAAAAGCTTTATTTTTCATATATCCTTCAGCTTGTTCACCAGGATCTTTCAATCCATTGACCACTCAAGGTGCTCAGACTTCATGTGTAGATTGTCTAAGTGGTTGGGCATGTACAGTGTATGGATTAACAGAACCAGATAAACGATGTTCACCAGGTTACTACTGTCCTGGTGGCAACACACTACCTAACCAAGATACACCAGATTATGCATGTCCTCCTGGAACATTCACCAATTTTAACAACCTTACTGCTGTTGAACAGTGTGATGATTGTCCATTACGTGTTGCTTGTCCTAGAGCTACAGGTGGTACACAGAATCCACCTATTGCTTGTGCTAAAGGTCATTACTGTCCTTTGAGAACTGGATCAGCTACTGAACACCCTTGCCCTGCTGGAACATTCACCAACCTAACTAATCTATACAGACAAGAAGATTGTTATGTATGCCCAAGAGGATGGTATTGTTTAGAAGGTTCCCCAGCTCCAACTGCACTTTGTCATAAAGGTCACTGGTGTCCTGATGGTAAGTCTTTTTGTCCACTAAAGGTAGATTTGCTTTTTTAAAGCAGAAAGCAAAGTTACTACCCAATTATTTTAGTTATGACATAATGTGTGGTCAGTATATCCCGACCCTCACTCTGCAACTGTGTTTCTCAGTCTGACATACCCTTTGGGGAGACCATTGAAGAGAGTTATATTGAGTAGTTATTATTTTATATGCTATTTATAGGAACAAAGAGAGGAGATGAATTTCCATGTCATGCTGGTTCATACAGTGATCAACTTGGCAACACTAGACATGAGCAATGTGTTGATTGTCCAGAGGGAAACTATTGTCCAGTAGCATCTGTTCTACCCACTACCTGTCCACCGTAAGTAGGCCTTGTTTTAACAATGAATTTCCTAATTTGGGAAAAAGTCTGGAATTATTCTAGAGGATGAGATTTTTCTTTCAAATTGCTGTAAATCTCTAGAGATTACCAAATAAAAATGCCATGTATTTTCATAAATTTGTGCTGCAGAATTAATCAAAGATTTTGTAATTTTTGCATCTGACTTTGATATAATGTATTGAATTTCAGTGGTAAATATAACTCAGTAAAGAAAGGAGAAAGTCTAGCTATATGTTTAGATTGTACAGCAGGTTACTACTGTCCTGGTAATGGCAATGTTGAACCACTACCATGTAGCAGAGGAAATTACTCTGATACAGGAGCAGATATTTGTTCCATCTGCGAACCAGGATACTATTGTGACCTAAACACTACCAGCAAAACATTTATGGAGACCAAGAGAATCTGTCCACCTGGTGTTGAATGTCCAGCTGGAATGGACAGACAACCAGATTTGATCAGAGATCCATGTCGAAAAGGTCACTATTGCCCAGCAGGCAATGTTAGTCCACTTCCTGTTCCTTGTCCTATTGGTACATTTAATGCTGAATTTGGTAGAAGGCAAGTTTCAGAATGTGCCAAATGTACTCCAGGGAAGTACTGTTCTCCAGCTGGTCTTTCTGAACCTGCTGATGACTGTCCAGGTGGCTATTACTGTCCTCTAGGAACTGGTGATGCTTACTCATTCCCTTGTCCAATTGGATTTTATCGTAATGGATCTGCAAAAGAATCATTCCAAGATTGTGCTGAATGTATTTCTGGGTATTACTGTGACCGTGAAGGATTAGCAGAACCTATAGATTGTCCACCTGGGTTTTTCTGTGTCAGTGGTAGCACCTTCCCACAACCATGTCCACTTGGAACATACAGTAACTCAACAGGTAAGTCATATATTCATTTTTCTTCTTGGAAGTTAATGAAGTAGAAAGCAAAAATAACTTATTAAGCACATTCTATTGAAAAAAAATATTTCTTTCCAAACAAAAATAATCGAGATATTTTATATTCATTATTTCATCTTCAGGATTAAGAAGAAGTACCGACTGTGCACCATGTCCAGGAGGTAGATACTGTGATGGAATTGGTCAAACAGAGCCAACAGGTTTATGTGATGCTGGATTCTATTGTAGAGAGAAAGCCTACTCCTCTGCTCCACCCGATGGTCCAACTGGTGGATTGTGCCCTGCTGGAGGATACTGTCCAGCTGGATCTGCAATCGGAATTCCTTGTCCTTTCGGAAAATACAGTAAATCACCTGGTGCTAAGACCGAATTCGACTGCATTCCCTGTGATCCTGGATTCTTCTGTTCAGGATCTAGTAGTACAGAGGCATCCCAGAGGTGTGCACCTGGTTATTATTGTATTGGTGGAGCTGGTGTTCCTACACAATTTGACACACCTGCTGGTCACTTCACTTTGGAGGGTGCTTTCAAACCTGAACAATGTCCTATTGGCCGATATCAGCCTGCTCAGAGATCATCATCATGCTTAGTTTGTCCTCAAGGTTACTACTGTAATGGAACAGGTACTATTGAACAGATCATCTGTCCTGCTGGTTATTATTGTCCAGAAGCCAGTGGATTCCCTATACCATGCCCAAGAGGAACCTTCCTCAAGGATGTTGGTAGATATGAAGAAGCACATTGTGATATGTGTACTCCTGGTTTTGGATGCGAGTCAGTCGGTCTCAATGAACCTGTTACACTATGTGTTGCTGGACATTACTGTTCACGTGGATCCAATACGTCATCTCCCATTGATATGCCATTTGGTGATCTCTGTCCACCAGGATTCTTCTGTCCAGAAGGCACTGGTGATTATGTCCATAATCCATGCAGTAATGGTACCTATAGTAATTTCTCTGGTCTTCATGATCAGATTGGTTGTACACCCTGTGATCCTGGTTTGGTCTGTAATGGTAAGGGATTAACTGCACCTAATGGAGTGTGCTCTGCAGGATATTTCTGTCGATTTGCTGCTAAGACTAATAAGCCAATGGATGGTGGTGCTACAGGTGATGAATGTCCCAAAGGCCATTACTGTCCCGAAGGAACAGGTGAGACACTTTATAATTAAAACTATAATTAAAACTTATTTTTTACCATTTCTAGGGCTTTTCTAAATTTGAAACATTTCACTGAATTTGGAATACACTGGATATTGAATTTTGCCATTTTAGGTGAACCCAAAAGATGTCCACCAGGTTCATTCACAAATGTAACTGGATTAGACCAGTGTTTTGACTGTCCTATTGGATTTTACTGTGTGGATGGTGAAGTACCATTAAGATGTCCAAGAGGACGATACTGTCCTGGTAATACTACAGCAGCTCAACCATACTGTCCCCGAGGAACTTACAATCCAGATTTAGGTGAGTATTATTCTATCTTTTAGCTATTTTAATGATTCAAAACATTATAAAAATCTCCCAAAGGTTCAAATGGCATAGTTGGGTTGACACTGAATGTGTTTCTTTTCCAGGAATGCCTTCAATAGATGATTGTAAACCATGTTTAGGAGGATTCTACTGTGACAGTTTGGGTGCAATAGATTTTGACTTTAGTGTTAACGGTACTGGTACAGGACCTTGTTCAGCTGGTTATTACTGTAAATTAGGTAAGATAACATGATCTACATTGTATCTCTTTCTGTAGTAATTATTTGTAGTTATTTTATTTTCATGGACCTTAAATCAAATTAACACAGACGAGCCTCAATTCTTAATACTGATGACCACAGATTGCATCAAAAATCTTGACCATTTTTCAGGAGTAAACATTAGTACCCCTACACCATACACATCCAGTGGTATTGGTGGACCGTGTCCAGCTGGTTTCTACTGTCCAGTACAAACAGAGGATCCTATAGCTTGCCCTAATGGTACATATAGAGATGTAGAGTATGGGGAGAAGAAGCAAGATTGCATCCCTTGTAAATTAGGAAAATATTGTGGATCAACTAATCTAACTGAGGTCACTGGACCATGTTCTCCTGGATTCTATTGTTTACGTGGTAACAATGCTCCAAATCCTACAGGTAGGTTGTTGACTGTGTTCATAGTCACTTTTTCTCATAAATCAATTATAAATCCTGGAAACTGGATAGATTCACAGTATTTGATTATTTTTGAATGAATTTTTAACTAAGTTATGTAATATATTTACGATCTTGTTATTAGGTATTTGATGAACTTCAGTAACTTGCAATCACCCTGATAATGAATGTCTTTCAGGTGCTGAACCAGATATTGGTGGTCCTTGTCCTATTGGTCACTACTGTCCAGAAGGAACCTCATATCCATTGGAATGTCCAGCAGGAACCTACAACAACATAACTGGTCAATCACTATGTTTCACATGTCCATCTGGTTACTTCTGTCCAGAGAATATCACCAATTATGAGCTTTATCCTTGTCCTGTTGGTCACTATTGTTCAAATGGTACTGAATATGGTAATGAACATCCTTGTCCAAGAGGTTACTACAGGAACTTCACCAAGGGTCAGACAGTAGATGATTGCTTCCCTTGTCCTCCAGGAGAATATTGTGATAATCAAGGTCTAGCTGAACCAACAGGATTGTGTAGTTCTGGTAAGATTTCCTCTTTATCTCCACACAAGAGGGCTTGAAAATTTCATTTTGAATTCTTTTGATAACAGATTGGGTAGTTCATTGAAAGATGGATCTAAAACTACTAACGTTGTATCTTTTGCAGGATTTTTCTGTGTATTGGGTGCATGGTCTGATAAACCTACAGAATATAACAACTATACATCAGGAGACTGTTTATGTCCCAATACAGTGACTGGTGGCCAATGTCAACCAGGTTTTTACTGTCCCACAGGATCACATGAACCAACATCATGTAGAGAAGGCAACTATTGTGATATTCCAGGTATGTCATTATTTCTTCTGAAAGGAGAAAATGAAGGGGGGTCTGTGGATTTGAGAATGTTGTTTTGATAAAGACATTTCTTAATAATTTGATAATGAATCAGGCTGCATTATTTTAGGCAGTGGGAAAACATAAATTTGAATATAATAGAATAGCCAACTAAGGTATTTTTGTTTCAGAAATTATGCAAAACATCTTCTACCATTACTGCTTTTGATCATTGACTATAATTTCTATATTATAAGATTGTTGATATTTTGTATGTAGGATTAGCAGATGTAAGTGGGCCATGTAAAGAAGGATATTATTGTAATATAGAATCCAAAAGAGATGATCCTACAGATGGTATTACTGGTAACATCTGTCCACAGGGCAGATATTGTGGTAAGTCCTAAAATATTCCATGATTTTTTAGTTTATATATATTTTGTACTCTTACTCTCAACACAAGATGCCAAATCTTGTGCTGAGCAGAGTTTCTTAGAGTTGTCTTTCATACTTTTGCAGCTGGCTACAAGATATTCTCCTTCAAGAAAAATCATCAAACTATCTGGTCCTGAAGCTTTTCTTAAAAGTAGGAGCATTACTCAGTGGTAGCTTGATGGGAATTTTCTCTGAGGATTAGATCTTTGTTGTCATCAATTTAAATTGATCAAAATGTTTCTGGTAATTTGTAGGTCCAGGAAGTACAAGTAATCAAGATAAATGCCCTAGTGGTACATTTTCTAACAGGACTGGTAATACTCTGGTAACAGACTGTTGGCAGTGTACTCAGGGTTATTATTGTGAATCAGAGGGTCTTGTTGAACCAACAGGTCCTTGTTCAGAAGGTAACCCTTTCCTTTTAATAATCCCAAATCCATGTTTTAAATTTTTTCATTGGCTCTTTCTTTGTAAGTGCATCTGTAACCAGTATAGGTACTTGGTTTGAACACCAGCTAGAGTATCTTCTGTCTAAACAATTGATATACTCAATGAGAAAGTCTCTTTCTAAGATACCACTTTCCAGAAAGCCTTTGAAAATCAAATAATATAAATTAATGGGACCTAGGTCATACAGCAAGTCTTACCACTTGAACTAATGTATTTGTAATGAATTAAAATATGGGGGCAGTGGTGGATGAAAAATGAAAATCATGACGCAATGATAAAATGATCAATTGAATTTCTTATTTTGAAGGTTATTACTGCCCGCCTGGTCAAAATAGAAGCGACCCATTTATATGTTCACCAGGATACTACTGTCCTAGCGGTAGTTTACAAGAGATTAAATGTCCATCAGGAACCTATCAAGACCAGAGTGGTCAAGGATTTTGTAAAGAATGTGTTGCAGGTATGGTTGTTATTAAAATCAGTTCCTTTCCTTTTCTTTGTATTATATATTGTGTGATTTCTGCCTGTAAATTCTTGCTCCCACATTTTTTTTAAAGAGCATTTATGCTATTGATTATATTTTCAAGCTGAAAAAAGCAAGGTAACTAGAACAGTGGTTTCCCAACCTTTCTCAGCCTTCACACCGCAAGACCAATCACCTGGACCTTTCACACCTCAAAAATTTTGTTTCATTCACATTTCCAGCATGTGATGATGTGAGGTGCTGTCTGAATTCAAAACTAATTCTTCTCCTACACAGTTAGCCACAAAGTTGCACCAAAGTTCTACACCCCTAGGGGGTGGGAACCAGGGATCTGAAAGAAGAATCTTGTCTCCTTCAGTCAGAAACTGACTCTAAAATATTGTTCTTTTTTTAGGTTACTACTGTAATAATGGAGATAATTTAGATAACTATTTATCCTACCCATGTCCCGTGGGTTATTATTGTCCTAATGGTACACAATGGGATACACAGTATGGTTGTCCTCTAGGAACCTATAGTCCCAATACACAGTTAGAAAGTGTGTCAGAATGTCTACAATGTGATGCAGGGAAATACTGTGGGTATATTGGATGGAGTAATGTCACTGGTAAGGAAATCAAATTTTAATTTATTTACATCTGTTGTGATCTTTGCTTGTACAACTTGCTGTACATTACAAATTATTCAAGTAACAAATAAAAGTAAATATATCCATCTGAACATTTACTGGTGATACACATGGTTTATTGCATTCTCTCCAAAATCTCTGAACTATTCCTTAAAAATATTATGAAAACTTTTCCAGGAGATTGTTCAGCAAGGTATATCTGCTTGGGAGGATCATCAACACCTACACCAACTGATGGCATAACAGGTAGTCTCTGTCCAGAAGGTCAATACTGTCCAAAAGGAACTCCAGCGCCTATACCATGTCCTCTTGGGACATGGTCTAATAGCACTGGATTAGGTATTGCTGGGGAGTGCCAACAATGTACTGGTGGTTACTATTGTGCTAGCACTGGTCTCAAAGAACCAACTGGTACTTGTGATGCAAGATTCTATTGTAGTCAAGGAGCAGTGGTATCAAATCCAAGTGATGGTGTGACTGGAAACAGTTGTACCATCGGCAACTATTGTCCTATTGGGACTGCTGTACCCATACCATGTGCTGATGGTACTTATATGCCAAATACTGGTGCTGATGAATGCTTTAACTGTACACCTGGACATTATTGTGTTTCACAAACTACACCTGAAGACTGTCCACCTGGATATTATTGTCCAGAAGGAACTGGTGAGTGTTTCTTGTTATCCTTCTTCAATCTTAGTTTATTGGTTAAAAATTTTTTTCTTAACTTCCTTCGTATGATTTAAGTATTTATATGTGATATAAAGCTTTATTGACTCTCTTAAATAATATTCTAGGAGTGGTATGGCAATCCTGCCCAGCAGGTACCTACAGTATATCAACGGGATTATCTCATGTAGAAAACTGTACACAATGTGATGGTGGATTCTACTGTTCTGTACTTAATGGAACAGCTATATCAGGAGAATGTGATGCTGGGTATTATTGTACCCTAGGATCTGATACTCCTACTCCTGATACAGGTTTTACTGGAGATGCTGGTCCTTGTCCTGAAGGCCATTATTGTCCAAAGAGGACAGTAACACCTTTAAAATGTCCTTCTGGTACATATAGCAACAATACCAAACTGACCAAATCATCTGATTGTACACCATGTTCTTATGGTAAGTAACCCAATTCCTACAGGTCCTATTTGACTGACCAGATACATATATAGTGCATAAACTTCTCCTAATTTAGTTTCTAAATAAAATATTTGTTGGGAGGGATAATAATTTAATTATTATTATTTAATTCTTCTCTTAGGAATGTATTGTGAAAGTGAAGGTTTAACTAAACCAACAGGAGAATGTGCAGCAGGGTTCTTTTGCTTACTAGGAGCCTCATCACCAAATAATCCTGTCTTGGATAGCACTGGTGGTCCATGTCCAATTGGAAATTACTGTCCTAATGGAACATCTTATCCTCTTGGGTGTCCATCAGGCACTTACAACCCAAACACTGGCCAAGACCAATGTACACAGTGTCCAGCTGGATATTTCTGTCCTGAAAATTCCACAGCCTTTGCTGGTAATGATTGTCCACAAGGATACTATTGTCCAGAAGGTACAAAACATCAGTATGAATTCCCTTGTCCTAAAGGAACCTACAATCCAATGACAGGAAAGCAGAAGGAAGATGACTGTACACCATGTGATCCAGGATACTATTGTGATAGTCCTGGTCTTTCGTCAACATCTGGTCAATGTTCAGGTGGATGGTATTGTATAAGAGGAGCTTGGAGTGTTATGCCTACAGATATTGGAAATTTTACCAATCTGAATTGTTCATGTCCTGTAGATATGACAGGTGGTCAATGTCAAGCTGGACAGTATTGTCCTGTAGGATCATCTGAACCACTGCCATGCTTACCTGGTGAGTAACCTTTAAAGTTCTTATTTTGATTATGAGCATGTACAAAATAACTTGCTAATTCCTGTATATTGTACTGCGGAAATTTTTGTCATCTAGGTACAAATGACTATTTTAATCTTAAGTTAGGATTTTGAATAACACAATAATATATAATAAATTTATGGTTTTTGCTTACAAGACGATCTGAACATATATTTCATTCTTGTATTTTAGGATATTATTGTGAGAGTGTTGGACTAGAAAATGTCACTGGAGAATGTAATGCTGGCTATTACTGCACAACATCAGCTACTCAACCTGATCCTCAAAATGATGATACTGGTGGTCTCTGTCCAAAAGGTCATTATTGTCCATCAGGCACCAGTATACCTCAACCATGTCCACCAGGCTATTTCTCTAATACAACAGGAAATAAGGAGTTTTCAAATTGTCAACTTTGTACTGCTGGTGAGTTTAAGTATGAATGAAACTATAAAAATTAAAAACTTTGAAGTTTATGTCCTAAATATTATTTCCAAAGTATGCTGCTCTAAACCGTGGGTTTTAGGTTATTGTCATTGAATCAAATCTTCAGTGATACTTTCCACTGTTACCATGGAAATACTCATCCATGTGCAAATGACGTCATAAGTTAGCAGACTTAAACTAAATGTGATTGGATCTAGGTTTGATGTCATTTTTCTGTGATATTTTAGGAATGTATTGTGATAATTATGGAGATGAGAAACCTACTGGAGACTGTGATGCTAATTATTATTGTCCAGTAGGACAGAATACAAGTAGTCCTATAGATTATATCTGTAACCCAGGACATTACTGCCCATCTGGAAGCCCTACACAACTAGCCTGTAGTTCTGGTACTTATCAAGATGAATTTGGAAAGGTAATTGATTGATTGAAATGGATTTCTGAATTTCTCACACATTTTCTGCAAAGTTATATGGTGACATTTTTCTTGTTTTTGTTTTACTGTTGAGGGATCTGTAAAGTATTATGGAACAGAAGAATCCAATGTATTTTGTCATTGATTCACTCAACTTGAACTTCATATTTTTTAGGCAAGTTGTAAGGTTTGTCCTGAAGGTTATTTCTGTGATGGTACTGTGCAGAATACTACCCATTGTACTCATGGAGTTCAAAACCCTGAATCATGTCAACCAGGATATTACTGTCCATCTGGTACTAAACTATCTACAGAATATGGTTGTTTAATTGGTACATTTAGTGACCAGTATAATTTGAAATCAGCTGAAGAGTGTACAAACTGTACTGGTATGTTATGGCAAACCTTACTTACAATTAAATTTGACGTATATATTTTACAGGATATTGTTTCAGTTTTAAAAACCTCGTTCAAGAAAAACTACTTTGATTAACCCCTGATTTTTAAAAAATATCATGAAGCAAAATAGTGCAATCATATTTTGGTGTGATATTATTGTGTCTCACTGATTTTCCTTTCTGTAATTTTTGCAGGTGGTAATTATTGTGATAGACTTGGATTATCATCACCGCAAGGACAATGTAATGGTGGTTATTATTGCCTATCTGGTGCTCAATCACCAACACCAACAGATGGTATCACTGGTAATATCTGTCCACCTGGATCTTACTGTCCTACAGGATCTAATACTACTGTACCATGTCCACCAGGGACTTTTAACCCAGTTACAGGTAAATCTGTCAAGTATTTTATATATTTCATATATGTTAAAATTTATTTTCTTTGTCCATTTTCTTCTGGTCACTAACTGACTCACAGTTTTTTTTCTTGTTTAATGAATATATTTAATTCTTTAGTTGCCTCAGTTGAAAAATGTATAAATTATCTATTAGTTTAAAAATATATAACACAGATTTACTTTTTCCTATTTACAGGTTTAGAATTTGAAAGCCAATGTCTGGGGTGCTCTCCAGGACAATATTGTCCAAATTATGGTTTGACTTCACCTGTTGGAAATTGCTCATCAGGATATTTCTGCTCTGGAAATGCCACTACTTCATCACCAACAGATGGTACAACTGGTAATAAGTGCCCTGTAGGTCATTATTGTCCAGAGGGAACTCCTAGTCCAATACAATGTGCACCTGGCTCCTTTACAGATACAGAGTTAAATGATGAATGCCAAGAATGCACACCAGGTTATTTCTGCATCAGTGGCACAAATCCGGAAGCTTGTCCAGCAGGCTTTTATTGTCCTGCTGGAACAGGCCATGTCTGGCAATCATGTCCTGCAGGAACCTTCAGCATTGTTACTGGATTAGAAAATGTAACTCAATGTACCCAGTGTACTGGTGGTTTCTACTGTGATCAAACAAACCAAACAACAGTACAAGGACCATGTGAACCAGGATATTATTGTAGGTATGGAGCTGACTCATCAACACCATCTGGAGCGGGTTCAGGAGATGCTGGAAGTTGTCCACCAGGTTATTACTGTCCCCAGCAGACTCAGAATCCAATTCCGTGTCCATTAGGAACATTCAATAATAAGACAATGCTGACAGATATTGCTGAATGTCAGCTTTGTCTTCCAGGATATTACTGTGACCTTACAGCTCTAGAATACCCCAGAGGTCTATGCGATGCTGGCTTCTATTGCACAGAGGGATCTAATTCATCTAATCCTTCACTGACTACAGCAACTGGTGGACCATGTCCTGTGGGAACATATTGTGAAACTGGATCAAGTCAGCCTGTCAATTGTGTTGCAGGAACCTATAATAATCTTGAACAACAACAAAGCTGTTTAGATTGTCCAGTTGGGTATTATTGTGAAGAAAAGGCAATTTCAACTACTGAATGTCCTACAGGAAGCTACTGTCCATCAAAAACAGAATATGCTAGCCAATTTCTATGTCCTGTTGGTACATTCAATAACATTACAAGAGGAGAAAATATAAGCAGTTGTGAATATTGTCTTCCTGGAAAATATTGCTCTGTGACAGGACTTTCAGAACCAGAAGGAAATTGTGCTGGTGGATATTATTGTATCATAGGTTCATCCACTGACAGACCTTCAAATTCAGGAGACCTAACAAAAGGAGGAAAATGTCTGGCTGGTAACTTCTGTCCTGAAGGTTCAGATTCACCTATACCTTGCCTGCTTGGACATTATTGTGGAAGTGATGGTTTGGCAAATGTCTCTGGTGAATGTGATGCTGGTTATTACTGTAGTGGCAGTTCAATTCTACAAAATCCAGTCAATGAAACCTATGGAGATATTTGCCCTAAAGGACACTATTGTCCAAAGGCAAGTGGCCAACCAACTGCATGTGCTGAAGGAAGCTACAGCAACATGTTCGGTAATGTTAATATCACAAGTTGCTTACCATGTACTGCAGGTATGTACTGTTCAGGAGTAGGAAGAGCTCTTCCAAATGGTGACTGCAGTGAAGGCTGGTTTTGTCCAGAAGGTATGATTCAACCACAACCACCAGGAAATGAATGTCTTGCAGGTCATTCTTGTCCAACAGGAAGTGCAAACCAATCCCCATGTCCTTCAGGCTATTATCAACCACTTAGTGGAAAAGGTAGCTGCTTTATGTGTCCAAGTGGAAGTTATTGTGACCAGAATGAAGCAATCACTGAAGAGCAAAGTGGTATAGGTGCTCCATCTCATGGTGTAGTGACCCCAAAAGTATGTCCAGCTGGATTTTATTGCTATAATGGAACTAAAACAGATAGAGAATACCCATGTCCCCTTGGAACCTATAGTAACACTACCAGTTTAGAAAGTCTTACTGAATGTAGAGATTGTCCACCTGGTTATTATTGTGAAGCAGAAAACATAACAGAACCTACATCAAAATGTTTTGCTGGCTATTACTGTGTGTTAGCATCTGCCACACCAGCACCAAGCTTATCATCTGTGGGTGGACCTTGTCCTCAGGGCACGTACTGTCCAAAAGGATCATCACAAACTATACCATGTCCACAAGGAACATATGGTGATAGACCGCTACTAACAGCTTTATCTGAATGCTCAGTTTGTCCTCCTGGAGAGTATTGTGCTATTTCTGGATTATCAGCTCCAAATGGCAGTTGCTTGGCTGGTTACTTCTGCACCAATGCTTCTGAAGAAGCTAATCCAGTTGGAAAAAGTTATGGAGACGAATGCCCAGTTGGATACTACTGTCCTGATCATAGTTATCAACCAACAGCATGTCCTGCTGGAACCTACCAACCATTTAATAGAAGAGTCAATGATTCAGACTGCATACCATGTAGCCCTGGCAAATTCTGTAACATCACTGGGGCAGGACAGGAAGCGGGAGATTGCAATGAAGGATTTTATTGTATAGGTCGGGCTAGTGCTCCTTCGCCCTATGATGGTATTACTGGTAATATCTGTCCATCAGGATCATATTGTCCTGTAGCTTCACCTCAACATTACTATTGTCCAAATGGTACCTATACCAACCATTCTGGTGCAGCAGTATGCTATGATTGTCCAGATGGTCATTATTGTGTCAATAGAGATAGAGCTGATCCTTGTTTGCCAGGTATGTTTGATGTTATTTTAGGAGAAATATGACAATCAATCCATTATAGTTAAGGATATGTTGATTACTCTTTATGATCAATCAATATTAGAGGTTCAGTGGCATTAAAAGAGTGATTAAGTTCAGCCTTCCCAGCAATTTGAACCTTAAGAAAGTTACTTACTTTTCTACTTGTAGGATATTATTGTCCATATAAAACTGGTGCTGATCTACAGCCATGTCCTGCTGGTACCTATAATCCAGTATATGGTATGAGTAGTTTAAGTCAATGTACAGATTGTGATGGTGGTAGTTATTGTTTAACATCTGGTCTTGATAGTGTATCTGGTGATTGTCAAGCAGGATACTATTGTACTTCAGGTAATTTCTTAAACTTTGTCAATTCTGGATTACCCAATATGAATATTTGGATATACCTAAGCTTATCAAAGGTTTAATTATTAACAAATATTATTATTACATAAGTAAGCAGTTGATAACTTTTCCTTTTTATCATTTCAGGTGTTGATACGTCTACACCTTCTGGAGGTCATTCAGGTATTGGTGGACCATGTCCCATCGGTCATTATTGTCCAACTAAAACAATCAACCCATTACCTTGTCAAGCTGGCAGCTATAGGTAAGAAGAAATTTAGTAGCTTAAAGCAGATTAGTTAGCAATCACATGACCTTTTTGTCGTATTAGTTGATAAATCCTTTATCAATTGCTAACTGTTCACCATGCCTTTCTGTTTGTTTGTTTCAGTGATAGCACACATCAAGTTAACTGTACATTATGTCCAGCTGGTTATTACTGTATAGAGAACTCCACAGATTTTAATCAACAGATCTGTCCATCAGGTTACTACTGTCCACTTGGTACAAGTGATCCATTTGAATATCCTTGTCCAAAAGGTAGCTACAATCCAGCTAATGGAAGTAGTTCTCAAAACGATTGTCTGTCATGTCCACCTGGTAAATATTGTGAAGGTAAGTGAGCTACAGCTTGTATGATTAAAAGTTTTTTTTCTTTCAACTACAATTTTGTAGGAAAATGTTATTCCATTTCGTCTATAAAGCTCTAAAGTTTCTTATCAGAGAGCCTGAAAAGTAAAGGCATTAAGTGCTTTCTGTGCACATTACAGATCCATAAAATTGTGAATAGTCTAGGTAGTTGATACTCATTTTAGTTTTCATCTTCAAAAGTTTTCAAAACATCAAATGCAAAATTATTTTCATGAATTATTCTGGTATTTTATTTTAGTGGATGGTATGTCTGAACCAAGTGGTAACTGTTCCTCAGGATGGTATTGTACAGGTGGTTCTTATTCCTCTAAACCAGTATCAGTAGAGAATGCTACCAGTCTACCAGATTGTGTCTGTCCTTTAACCAACTACACAGGTGGAAAGTGTTGGCCAGGAACATATTGTGAACCAGGAACATCCTATCCTACACTCTGTACCCAAGGAATGTATTGCATGCTGTATGAACTTGATGCTCCACAAGGACTGTGTTATGCTGGATATTTCTGTGATGGTGGTGCTTCCAGACCTGATCCACCTGCTGGTCTATGTCCTGAAGGTTATTATTGTGAGCAAGGATCAAAGTCACCTTCACCTTGTCCTGCTGGTACTATGAGTAATAACAAAGGTATGTTATGTATTATTTTCTAATCCAAATAGAATTAGCCTGAATTGCTGTCACAAATTCAATGTATCAATCATCAAACTTATATGAATGTATTCTTGAGATACAACTTGAATTTATTGGCTCTACATTCAGACATGAAACCAACTCTTGGCGAGATCTAAACTTGAAAAGGTGTCATGTGTGCTACTGGTGGTGGGCATTAAGGTTTTGATATAGAAAAAAAAGTTTAAGAAATAGCTGTCCTGTCCTGGCACATAATCTGTGACTTTTCCCATTTTCCTGAGGATAATAAGATCCAGATAAAACTCAATTTAACTCCCATTTCTAATGATTTTTCAGGTAACATTAATATTACAAACTGTGATCTGTGTACACCAGGATATTACTGTTCAGGATTAGCCAATACTAATTACACTGGTCAATGTCTGGCTGGATACTACTGTCCAGCTGGTCAACAATCTCCATCACCACCAGAATATAATTGTACACTTGGTCACTACTGTCCAATTGGTAGTGGTCAGCCAGTAATGTGTGAAACAGGTTTCTATCAAGATGAAAATAGTCAAAGTGTATGCAAGATTTGTCCAGCTGGAAGGTGAGCATTGGTTTTTTTATACCCCAACACAAAGTATGAGATGAACGATTTGAGAGTAATTCCCCTTGACTTAGTAAAAATGCTTGATGGAACTTGGTATGCATGTATATATTGATGGGATCTCAGTACAGCAATTAAAGTATGAAAATGAAACTGCCAATAATGAAAAACCATGCTTATGATAATGGCGTCAATGATTTTAATTGATATCAATTGATATACATGTATTCATACATTCTGATAGGGTCAATATCCATCATGTCACAATTGATTTATAATTTGAGATTATTATCTATTTCAGTTACTGTGATCCAGTTGAAGTAGGAAGTATAACTGGAGATCCAGATACTGGTGTAATTATACCAACAGATTGTCCATCTGGTTATTACTGTCCCTCACAGACTGGGGTAAAGACAACTTACCCTTGTCCTACTGGTACTTTTAGTAATCAAACATCAATACAAACTGCTGATCAATGTTTACCATGTACTGGAGGCTACTACTGTGATGCTCCAGGTAAGTCAATCAGAATTGTTTATGGATAGTTGTTAAATTATTTTGTTTTTTTAATTAGCCAAAATTATTCAAATTTTAGGAACAAGAGAAAGTATATGAGCATTTTAATTACTGATAGCAAAAAGTTGCACATTATGGCATAATTCAGAGATGGTGATCATGTATGATTTTGATCAAAGTCTGGAATGCCATTTGTTAATTTGTTGAGTTTAGTTTTGTAATTGATGGACAAGTTCTAGTGAATACCAGTTGTCTCTGTTAACAATGTGTTTTGTGAAAAGTTTTGAACAATAAGTTTGGTCATGTGTAAAGAAGGCATTACATAGCATTATAGCAGAGTATGACATAATATTTTTTTTATCTCTTTTTTATAGGTCTAGTAGAACCAAGAGATGTATGTAATGGAGGATATGTTTGTACTGGTGGTGCTAATACTTCAACTCCTACAGATGGTACCACAGGGTACATCTGTCCACCAGGATATTTCTGTCCACGAGGCTCTGACCAGGGTGTTAAATGTCCTGCTGGTACCTTCAGTAATCAACAGCAGCTAGAGAATGTAACAGAATGCCAGCAGTGTCCACCTGGAAAATACTGTGCTGTTGATGGTAAGCTTCTTGATGTTAATTCACCAGAATCATCTGGTAGAGCATGCATTTGCAAGACTTCATCTGCTGAAATGCTTAAATATTGTTTTTAATTAACTTAATCTTAACTTGTAGGATTAACAAGTGTCTCTGGAGACTGCTTGAGCGGTCATTATTGTACAATTGGTGCTATTGTCCAGAATCCAATTGGTCAAGCTTATGGAGACTATTGTCTTGCTGGTCACTTCTGTCCAGTTGGCACTGGTACACCACAACCATGTCCAAGAGGAACATTCTTACCTGATACTGGACGATCAAACATTGCTGACTGCCTTGATTGTCCAGGTGGAAAGTACTGTGAACAAGAAGGAATGACAAATGTAACAGGTTAGTAACAATAATATAAACTTTGTGCTGTATTGTTCAAATCTTTTAAGTTTCTAGTGTTCATGTGCATTCCTAATCATTTGAACATTGTTGCATTCGAATATATTTTGTAGCTGGTGTTTAACATAAATGAGCTACACATTATGAAATATTTTCTTAAATAGAGAATGTTTAGTAAGAATGTGTTTGTTTACAATATATACTGTTGATTCTAATTTACAATTGATGTATATAGGTGATTGTGATGCTAGTTACTATTGTGATAGAGCTAGTAACTCTAGCAGTCCAAATGATGGTGTAACTGGAGATATTTGTCCATCTGGAGCTTATTGTCCAATAGGATCTTCTGCTCCAATACCTTGTCCTGATGGTAATTTCTTTTTGTTCTTTTTGTTCTTTTTGACGTCAGTAATCACAAAGGACCTTACGTGATAAAGCATATATATTGGGATTATTGAGGTCATCAAACACTTAGTTTTAGTGAAATTTAGGAACCACAGAAAAAAAATTGGAATGGTGCAAATTGATGCTATCAGTGTCCTCGATCCACATACAAAATTTAGAAAACCTCTTTACAAGTTGTTGTTTACTTATTAAAAAATACAACAAATATAAAATACATATATTACCTAACATAAATGAAAGTAGCTTCTGGTTCATAGAAAAGAGTATCAGTTATGATTCCACAATAAAACTGATTAAAACCCATTCACCCCCAAATTGTTTTCAGCAAAGCCAGTTTAATTTGACCTTAGGAACATATCACTTGAACACTGATTTACTATGATATCTAATTATAGGTACCTATATGAATCATACCTTAGCCAGTGAATGTGAACCATGTCCTGCCAGATATTACTGTGTTAATAAAGATCGTTCAGATGCTTGTCCTAAAGGCAGATTCTGTCCACCAGTTACAGGATTCAACATGTCACTATGTCCTAGTGGGACATACAATCCTACAGTTATGTTAATGGAAGAGTCTGAATGTACCCAGTGTGATGGAGGACATTATTGTTCTACACCAGGATTAGTTGCTGTTTCTGGACCATGTTCAGCAGGCTATTATTGTCAATCTGGAGTAGATACAGCATCACCTAACAATAATAATACAGGATATGGAGGTAAAGTAAACACAAATGTAACAATTTTAGTAATGGATTTTCAATTACTTCATATATGCAGGGACAAAGCAATATGATAATTTTCTGACTTTACAATCTGATTTTTTAATCCATTTTCTTTTTTTTAAGGTGAATGCCCAATTGGTCACTATTGTCCAGAAGGTACAACTAACCCATTAGGATGTCTAGCTGG